TGGGATTATTTTGTTTTGTTTTCCAAAGTATGATCTTGTCGTAGCTGCTGCTTTTCATTTTTCTATCTCAGATAAGTGGCTTTTATCAAGAATTTCTCTTCAAAGCTCAGCAGTGGTTGATAATGTTTTGTGACAAAAGACTTCAAGGTCAAAGCTCTTTGTATCTGCTTCAAGGAGTCAGTGAAAAAAATAGTTAATAATAAATTTGTAGCATTTAAGCTAGGAGTAAAGGCAGTTTTTTTTATAACGAACAGCAAATTTTCCTCCAAAAATTTAACTTTAACTTCCCGTTTCTTGATCCTTTTGCACAGTGATGTCTGGAAACTCGGCGGATTCGTTCTCAGAAGACTCAGAGGTGGAAGAAGAGAAGGAAGAGGTGAAGGAGCAGATAGAGATAACTGTGAAGAAAAAAGGACCGGGCCGACCACCGCGGAAGAAGAAAGCGCCCGTTCCTCCGCCCACCGCCGGCCCACCACCAGCTAACGACAACAAGAGGAGATCGACTCCGGTTAAATCAGGTAACGGTTCACGGTTTTAAGAGCACCGACACGTTCTACCCGCTCGTCTTTACGCTCGTCGACACTCTCCGCAGGGAAACGCGGCGTGCTGAAGCGTCCCTGGTCGGAGGCGGAGCGCGTCGCGGTGGAGACGCACCTCAAGCGGAACCTCCTGGAGCTGAGGGTCCCGGCGAAGGCAGACTGCGAGCGCTGCCTGGAACTCTGCCCCCTGCTGGTGAGCAACCAGCGGGACTGGCGAGCCATCAAGTTCTACGTCCACAATCGCATCCAGCTGCTGAAGAAGCAGGGGAGACGGGAAAGTGCCACCGTCAGCTAGAACAAAAAAAAACCTCGAATTTTCAAAGAGGACCGGCACCATGATGTACATTAACCCACCAGCAGACAAGATGGAGAGGGCAAAACGGGGTTTCTTTCTCTGCTACGGGTGCATCACCTGACATTTTGGTGGATTCCAGGTGCGATCACCTCAGTCGTAAGGGAGAAGTGGAATAAAAGTGATTAAGCTAAAAAAAAGGAATAGATAAAACATACTCAGTACTGCGGTTACCTGACGTCAGTTTTGTTTTGCATTTTTAAAGTCATTGGACGAAGTGTATTTGTATGTGAACAATTTTTTAAAGACTGTTTTTATGTCATGTTTACTTTGTGAGTACAGTGAAAGTGGAGGATCTGTGGGAGTGAGGGTAATGAACAGCAAAAAATCTGTGGCGCGTTGACGCGTTTTTAACGCAGCAGAAAGTCCTCGACGAGAATTTCACTGAAGGCTGTTGACCAAACATGAATGTTTGAAAGCTTTGGGAGAACAAAAACATTATTAAGAATCTCCACAAAAAAGACTGCGTGACCCTCTATAATGTGTTTGATGCTGCGCTCCTGCAGACGAGTGTGTTATAAAAGTATTCCTCCGTGTCGCAGAACATGTTGCACCTGTTAAGTGTTTTCTTGCATACCTCTGTACCACTGATCATAGACTAGTATGTGTCGAGG